CTTTGAGCAAGGGTTTGGACTAGATGACCTCCTGAGGTCCCTTCCAACCCTGATATTCTATGATTTTATGAATTTCTCTGTGGGGGAGTTTCCTTGTCTCTTAGCATGAAGATAATATTACTTTCCTACCTCACAGGGGTGATGCCAAGCTTAAATCATGAAAGTGTGTAAAGTATTTTGAGAATTTTGGATGGAAGGTGCTGTAGGAAGACAAAATGTTGTTGTTGTTATATAAAGCAAAAGTGTATATGTGAGGGGAGGGAGAGAGAGGACAAACATACCAACCAGGATGCAGCTTGGTGTATGTTGGCTGCTAAGATTAGCATTCATTCAGTCAATGAATATTCAGCTATTTCTTGTAGCATGGTAACCAACATACATCTAATACAGGTAACTTTTTTATTTCAGCTGTTCAAGTGACACTCATCTCTGATTCTTGGAATTTGTCAAAAACATTTCAGTTGAAAAAGTAAGAGTTTGTTTTCTAAATATGTTCACTAAGGGCTGTGTATCTGAGGTGTGTGCATGTTATTTTTTTAAAGTATTTAAAAAGGGGGATGCACTTCACCAGAGGCCGAGAAATCCCTTCTCCTGGCCTATATCCGCTCCTCTTTTTTGTGGCTTTATAAAGCTGCTTTCATGTGGTGTCTGTTTTAAAATCAAACGATAAAAAGAGATAATTCTTTTAAGCCCCTGGCAGCAACAGGAGAGTTGTTATAACAATGCTAACTCCCACTGAAATAATAAAGGCTGTAACCTGGAAATTAGCGGACATTTTACCTGTGTAAGGGCTGAGAGCCATGTTGTACCTTCCCATGGTCTAACCTGGATGAATGGATACAGAAGACCCAGAAAAGTGTGTGAAGTTCATCTTAAGGTGTTCGCTCCTATTAAAGCAGTGATGCCATTTGTTATGATGTTAACAGCAGAAAGTAACACCTAATGAAATAGTAGTAATATTGAAACCCGAGGAGCAGTTATAGCTACACATCCATTCTTTAGCACCATATTCTGGGCTTATTTTGCACTGAGAACTCTTACTGAGAGCAGTGGGAGTTACTCATACAGGATGTGGGTAGATTATGAACAAGATTATATATATATGACAGGGTTGCCTGCGATAGTAGGGGACTGGATTTCATGATCCAAGGAGGTCCCTTCCAGTTCTACGTCCTGTGTTCCTATACCCCTTAATCAACACTTTTCCTTTTCTGACTGTAATAAACACTGAGATAGGGAAGAGTTGCAGGGAGCCTCTCTTCTTTCTCCTTGGTGGGTAGAACACTGGAGATTATAACACAAATAAGTGTTTTGCTCATTTTAATATAGTTTAAAGATTTACAGTGTTGTTCTGTTAGGTTTCTACTTTTTGCATAACTTGAAATTTCATGTTCACAAATGTATTTCTTAATGTATTTGCTTAATCCCTGTATTTGATGCAAACTATCTGTTTTATGTATTGCCAGTTTCTCAAGATGTATCAGCACTCGTGTTTGTACCTTCCGTGAAAGAAAGCATATCTCTCCCTTTGTTGCCTGCAAGCCTGATGATTCTGGGCAAGTTCAGGTAAAATTCTTTGGGATTTATAGAACTTAACATTTTCTGTGGTACCTTTTTTATTATTTAAGCAAATGTATGTTTCTTATTCATTTTGATGTGACAGAATGTTTGGAATTTTTCAGGATGATTGTCATCCGATTGATAAACAAGGGGATGTGCCAGCCACTACTGCTTCCCAAATGAAAGCTACTACACAGATGTCAGAGGTTAGCTAACATTTTTAGATAGATGTAAATGATGCACAAATTGATATGGGGAAATGCTCATATTAAAGGAGGGAAGGTTGGAAGGAAGGCAAGGGTAATTATAAGAGAATTAATTGGTATATAATTATTGCACAGACTTGTTATTAATAATTATTATTTATATTAAATAGCGTTTAGTGGCACAAACTAGGATTCGGGCTCCACTCTGCTAGGTGTTGTACATATACATAGAAAGAGACAGTACTTCCCTCAAACACCATACAAAGTACATAGACAAAGGGTGGGTAGGAAGTATTACCAGCCCTACTTTACAGATGGAGAATGAGGCAAAGAGAGATGAAAAGTCACACGAGGATTCTGTGACAGAACCAGAAACTGAACTCAGATCTCCAGTGTCCTAAGTGCCTTAACCACAAGACCATTCTCGCTTTCTTGATGGTTCCAAACAATCTTAAATGTTTGATAAAATTAAATAAACAGAATCAATTGGTGCTGCTCAGCTTAGCCATCAGTGGTTTGCTGATTTACTGTAGGTGTCAGAAGAGAAGTGGGTATTGAAGAGGAGTTTGATTGATGGATAATAACTACAGTAACTCCCCTTTTAACATCCTCTCGCTTAATGTTGGTTTTTGATCTTGCGTCCCTGCTCAATTACAGAACATGCTCCATTTAAAGTTGTGCAATGATTCACTATAACGTCGTTTGGCTGCCTCCTCTGTCCACAGCTGGCAGCCCCCCCATCAGCTCCCCTATGCCCCCCCACAGCGCCTCCCGCCTGCCGGCAGACCCCGTAAATCAGCGCCTTCCCCCTTCTCCCCCCGCCTCCTGCCTGCAGCAATCAGCTGGCTTGTGGCGTTCAGGAGGGAGGGGAGAGGAGTGAGGACGTGGCGCGCAGGCTCCCTCTGCCTCCCGAACGCCGCAGACCAGCTGATTGCCATGGGCAGGAGGCAGGGGAGGGAGGGGGAGCCTGCACGCCGAGTCCTCGCTCCTCCCCCCTCCCTCCTGAACGTCGCAAGCCAGCTGATTGCCACGGGCAGGAGGGAGGGGGGAGGAGCGAGGACACGGCGCACTTCC